GTGTGTGTTTTATTTTTTTGTCTTTTTTAATATTTTCACAAGTTTTGGACTCATTTATATTTTTTAAAAAAATTAGGACTATGATTATAATTAGTTCTTTATTTTTCTCCTTTTCGTTTTATTTATAGAAGATGGTATAATGGTCCTTTTACGCTAAAAATAGGGGAAAAGGACGTTTTGCACACAAAAAGTGAAAGGTAGGGACGTTCTGCGCCAACAAATGAAAGGCAGTGACGTTTTCCACAGAAACCGTCAAAGGTAGGGATGTTTTGCGTCAATTACCCTTTTTGAATTCATGTCACTTTTTTAGTGTTTGCCACTTTTTTCTATCATATTTTTTTATTGTTTGTCATTTTTTGACTAACAAAATCATTTTTTTTTAAAAGTGAGATTGTGTCACTTACTTATTTTATGCAGTACCATCCAGGGATGCCAAAGTTGCTCTTCAAGTTTATAAAAGTGACATTGTGTCACTTTTTTAAATTTTGTCACCTTTTAAGCTTTTGTCACTTTTTAAGAAGATAAAAAAAAGAAATAATATGTTATATTTTCCTAACATAATCAGCACGTGGATTTGCCTGAACGTGCTAATTATTTTAAAAACATGATTACTGGTGCTGCACGAATGGATTGTGCTATTTTGTTATTTGTCACTTTTTTTAAGTTTGTATCACTTTTTTGAGTTTGTCTCACTTTTTGAGTTACTTTTTTTTAGTTTTGTCACTTTTTTTAGTTTGTGTCATTTTTTTAAAAAAAAGTAACATTGCGTCACTTTTTTCATTTTACACAGTATTTTTTACTTTTCAAAAACATTTCACATGATTTTTCAAAACATCTTTAATTTTAAGGGTATTTTTGTAAGTACCCCTTTAGAACTTGGATCCATATTTCACACACCTTCGATGGATAGGACCATTATTGCAAGCGAATATCACACGAAATGAAGAAAAATTAGGCTGCGTGCCTATGTCGTTGGTCCCAACTGGTCAAAACAGTTTCTATGTTTTCCCTGATCTCATGATCTATTCAACGTATTCTCCATGGAAAGGGCATGTAAAGGCCGAGAAACAATATGCAATTGTTTGTTGTTACAAACATTATGTAAAGCAATCTTGAATTTATATTGATATTACGTAGAAAATAAATAGTGTTAACCTAAAAGAAATCGTTAAGGGAATGTTCGATGACAAATGATAATTTAGACGATTCAGACTCATCCAACAAATAAAGGTCAGATATACTCACCAAGATGTCGGGATTGATGAAGTGTGTATCTTAAAACTCTCAAAATTGTCAGTTATACTCCCTACTCACTAAGATGTCGGAAATGATGAAGCCTATATATTAAGGCCCTTAAAACTGCCTAGCACGTGGACGAGAATATCAATTGCCTATATACACCCCAAAAGGTGTCAAGTGTGGTTAATGTTATTACTTTCGCACCTCTCTTTACACTTAAGATCATTTTCCTCTCATATTGAAGGTCAAACGGGAGATAGAACCACATTGTTCTGCTAAGGAAGTTGAAGCGTATCGAAATAATTTCATATATATTATAATACGGAATATAGTGCAGTAGCTTTCCTTGTTCACATCTATTCTTTTGCTCTGCTTTTACCAATTGTTGCAACATGTTCTATCGTGTAGTACACATGGGCGGACCCAGCCCCCGGAGAGGGGACGCAATCGCACGTGCTGAATTCGTCGGAGTCTTCAATACCATGGCGCTGTCGGATCATTGTGCAGTCTTGTTGCAGAGATAATAGAGAAGATCGGGGAAGAAGAAGACACTGTTTCAGGTAAGGTGGGCCCTTTTTTTTTTCAGTTTTGGCCCATTTATTTTAGGCTGAGATAGTTGGGCCTTTTTTTAATATGAAATTGCACTCATAATCACTTTAAAATTGGGTTCAGAATGAATATTGGGATTGATTAAGAAATATTAACAATTTGAGTAGTGAAAAATAAGAGAGAAAATGGCAGACAGAGATTTTTGTCAGTATTTTCTTGAGAAATTCATATATTTGAATAAGTTAATGATTAATCTAATAATCTTTGTATTATTCCTGTAACAAGTCTGAAATGTCACGTGTATAATCCACATTCCTTGCAAAATATATTGTTAAACTTTTATTTTATTTTCTTGTATTCTTCATGATTTTCAAAGAGAGCAGTTAAAGATTTTCATTAATCCAAACGAGTATTAAGATACGGCAATTGGTCTATAAAAAAATATTTATTTTAAAATTACTTTTTTACTTGCATAAACTTACTTGTAAGTAAAAAAATTTAAGCTTAGTCTTATTTTCAATATTATTTAATTAAATATTAATAAACGATCTCGTTTTTATGATTTTTGATTGTCGACGGTTAATGATCAACGTCCGTTCGGATTGAATTTTTGTGCTGAGTCCGCAACTGGAAGTACACCTTGAATTTACTTGAAGGCTACGTAAGGAATGGAATATATGCAATGGGGAGTCAAGTAGAATGAAGATCAAGCTCACTATATTGTCTTTCCTATAGAATATTAGAATATGGATGGGAACGAATATATACTTCTTGTCGTGCTCTACTCTTTTTATCATCACAATGGAATCAATGGATGTAGACATTTGATGTGTACTTCCCACAACTTAAAGAGAGACATCCCACTTCACATTTTGTCCATTTTTCTCTTGAAAAAAGAAAAGAAAAGAATATGTATGTACGTATGTGCATATCAAATCTTGAAATTCCGTCTTAAAATATAATCTTTGTTAGGAGTAACTTGATTGATGTGTGATTTTAGTCTTAAAATGGTGATGTTAGATGCTCGTTTATGAACTTGAATCTTGAAATTAAATTGGTCACCGAGCTTTCAACATATTGTATTGTTCGCTTTTCTTTTTTTTTTTTTGGATTTAATATCATATTTGATTCTTGATTTCTTAAAATGTCGATCTTGTTAAAAAATTTATTTAAATTTTAAATCTTTATATGTGATTAAAGTGATGCGGGAAATTAATGTGCGCTTGAATGAGAGACAGAGAGAGATGGGTTCAAGTGCTTATTTTGTATTTCAATACTTGAATTTTAATTTGAAATACATTTCTTGCTTGGAGGAGACATAATAAAAATCATCAAATCAAACATGGGGAAGAAGCCGATGATATCTTAGGCAAACCCCCTAATATCAAAACAAGTAGTCAATAACAGAAATCCCAGAAGAGTCTGGCCATGGGACTTGAATTATAACCATGTACTCCTCGTAGCCAAATGCCACATTTTTCCCATTGATTCTGCACGCTACTGGCTTCTGTGATGCATAAACCCTCATTTCGCCCGTCCCTTTGATACCAACTTGCACCGAATCATCATCATCATCAAACTCCAATGACTGAATTGCGCCACCAGTATTGAGCATGTTCACCAGACCAATCGGAGCAAATTGGATGGATGTGTTCGCCAAAACTGCCACTGGAGAGACTATTATGAGCTCAAAATTGAAGGGCTCGAGTGAAATATCAATGGCGCTCGATGATTTTGCTAGTATGAGCCTCTTTTCGCAGAACAGATAGGCAGCAAATACTTGAACTCCTTCAACTTGAATTGGGTTTGTGCCATGTGTCCACTCGATGTCATTGGGGCTGGCCGTGGACGAGACAACATGGGAATACTGGGAGGCGCACTGATTGCGCCTTGTTTCCCTGCACCATCCTCCTCCTTGACAGTTAAAGGCACCCACAACTCCAGTGTACTGATTCAAACACGTAAGACATTGCATTAGATCGGTAAAAGAACAAAACACTCTCGGTTAGTACTTTCGTCAAACACTTGCAAGGCATAATTTTATCCACAAATCTTACCTTGTTCAGGTTCCAAATTTTTAGCATGGTTTTCCCATCATGGAGGGGGTCTTCAAAGAGGCAGTCACGAGTAGGGAGGGCATAGTAGTCGCAGCGCAAGATGGAACCATCAGGCAGAACCAGGCTCTTGAGCAACTCAAAATTGTGCTTGCCCACTGAGTCACTAACATATATGGGTCCGCCGGAAATTGCACGGGAGGCGGCGTGAAAATCCGCACAGGGATGGGTAGATTGGAACATGTCCCAATCAGGATGGATGAAATTGCCCATCCACAAGCTGTTGTAGGCACAGTGAACCATGTGGCACCCTTGAAGCCAGAATGTGCCATTGGGATCCCCAGATGGATCAACGCACCAAAAGTCATCACCTATTGAAAATAAGAAGCGCCATTTCTTTGTTAAGCTTCTCCATGCATAGATAATTACTTTATTTTGTCAAATATATAGCCCCGTTTGGTGGGAATTAACATTATATTTTTAGTAAATTTTGATAAAAATTAATGAAATTAGCAGTTGAAAAGTTGTGACACTCATAAAATATATGTTTAAAATTAATTATTAATTTTGATTTAAATTATAATCTGAATTATAATATGTACTAAACATGGACATAATTTTAAAACTTTGCACTTTCACTTTCACTCTCATTCACTTTTCCTACAACTACAAGTCTTAAACTCTTAATTTACCTTTTCAAAAGTAACATTTAAACACAACTTGCACAAAATTTGAATAACTTACCAACACGGCCAAGAGATATGGCCTCGGTTCCAAGGAACATAAAATCGTTACAGTGTTCCATGCTAGCAATCACACCATTCCCTTTGAAGTGGTTCCTAACCGAAGATGTCAAGGCTTTGTAATAAGCCTTGGCCAAGTCGACTCTCCCACCATAGTCCTCGCACAACATTTCCAATAGCTACATATATAAACATATACATAATTAGAAGAAAAAAAAATTAAGTTCAAATTATATTTAGTCCATGTTTGATTTAGATAAAAATCGAGTTTTTAGTAGATTTTGTAAAAGTTGATGGAATGTGTGCTTCAAAAGTTATGAATTTCATAAAACGTGAACTACAATTCATTGTTAGATTTTACTTGAAAATTTTAATATCACCAAAAAGAAATTTTTTATTGTATACTAAATATAAATTCAGCGTTTGGGTTTGTAGGAATAGATAATTGTAAAGAACTTACGTGAATGACATCCACCTTGATTCCATCAATTCCGACAGATTCAAGACGAGCGTGTATACCTTCATACATACGATCAGCAATCTCTGGTGGGACCAATCCAACACCATTGTTCACAATCTTATCAACAGCCAAATCTTCCATAGTAGTCTCTAATCCAGGTGTCAACTTGGGTTTAATCACCTTTGCCTCCGGCAGGCCCGGAACATCGGGTCGAATCCCACCCCAGTACCCACACAGGGCATGCCACACGTACACATAGTCCACACTGTCGAAGGTGTCCTTGAGGTCCCTTATAAATGCTGCCATGCCCTCCCCCTTATTCGGACTCACGTAGTCTCTGAATTTGTAATTTTCTTCGAATTTTATCAGCCTGCATGGCATTTGCTCACCGGCGGATGTCCGATTTATGCCCTCGGAAGTGATCGGATCCTCGTCGTGGCAAATGGACTGCCACCCGTCGTCGATCAACACCAGCCCCGGTGGACAGCCGCCGTCCACCAGCCCCTTTACACCCTCCCAGACGCCCTGAGGCTGAACAGTCAAATAAAAAGCATCCCAAGTGCACCACCCAAATTTGTCTACAATACCTGGTGGAGTTTTTTCCTCCAGGAGCCTGAAAGTTCCAAGGTGAGCTCGAACTACTTTCGTGGCTTCTTTCACCAAACTGAACGGATCCTCACCGACGTGCATGTAGAGAACACTCCGGAATGAAGCTTCGGTGACTTTGCTCGACCCACTTTCGACGCAGATGTCGATGTAGTCGTCTTTTCCGGGCTGAAGTGAAGCCCGAAAAGGCCCTTCTATGAGTGGAAGAAGCAAAACATAGGGTCTGCCAGTGGACGATTTGTCAAGAATGACAATTTGTGTTTCCCTTTCAAGGTCCCTTCCATTGGTTCCAATCCAGTGGGTAGTCCACCAGACCTTGAACCTGAAAATAGACATGAATTTGATATCTTTGAGCTTCCCAATTGGGATAACATGGTGGCCTTCTGGCTCCTTCACATCGAAGCCCATAAAGCATCCCGGAGAGGTTGCTACGGACTTTTCACCGGCGGTGTAAGGTGATGGTGTGGCAGTGATATTCGCCGGAACTTCAGAGAGAAAAACATGATCGTTGACAATGAAATTATCTTCATCTAATGTGATTGATGAATTGCTGAATCCATCAGCAAGAACAGTGGCATTTGAACCACCTTTGCTCAAACTGGGAGCCATTGAAAATGAACAACAAAGAAACTTAAAGAACAGTTACAAGAATGCAAAGAGAAATTCAAGAAAACTGTGATGTTCTGATGAAGAGAAATGAAGCTCAAATGCAGACTTATATAGGTGAACAGAGAGAGGGCTGTAGGATTTGGAATATGGAATCTGTAAAAAAAAAAAAAGGAATTTCTATATGAGAAAACTTCTCTATTTTTTCAAGGAAAAATTACATTTTCTCTGTTTAAGTCGTTAAAGAATGAATCCTTGAATTACACTTGGAAAGGGTGCATCAATTTATTTATAGTGGGACAGAATAAATTATTAACTTTGTGAAAATGTATTAATTAAGATTATCCAATATGCCGTTTTCCTCGAGAAGATTTCTTAAATCTGTTGAGGAGCTTGTATGACTATGATGTTTGAATATTTATATGCTGAGTTGTTGTCATGTAATAGCATAGAGCCTGCAACTAAATATTGACTAATTGATGAAGTGTTTTACCTACTTTTTAATTTATTTTCGTGTAAAATCATGCATATAATATGTTCTAAAACCCTTTTTCAAGGGTTGTTTTCTTATAACAATTTTATGATAAAATATTAGGCTCCGTTTGGGAGCAATTCTTCTTCAAATAATACATTTTATCTTTCACATCAAGTGGGGTCCATGGAGAATATGTGGTTGAAAAAGAAGGAAAAGTTATTGATGTGATGGAAAATATTATTTTATTGAAGAATGTGTGGTTAAAAATGAGTAGAAGAATGAAAATGAAAATTTTAATGGTTACCAAACGCAGGCTAAAAGTTAAATTAATTGCACAAAAGAAAAACTCCCCAACCAATTTTGTTTCTATTTTCACAAACTCGAGCGACACATTTGATAGATGGAATTAAACATAGTCTCGCAAAATTAAGGTAAAGAGGCATATAAAAATGATAGTATATTATGACTCTAAAGAGGATCGAACTAATATATTTTTTTGCTCAGGTTTGACGACCATTATTTTGAAAAAATTGAGTTTTTTTAAAAAAATGTGTAGCTAAAAAGTGAGAAAATTTTTGGGTTTACGTGCAAAATATTTTATTGTGTAAAATGCAGTTGAAATGAGTTTGAAAATTAAAGAGTTTTATTTTAAAGGGAATCAAACATGAGCAAATGTTATCGTTCATTAGGCTAACTAATAATATCAAGTAAAAAAAATAAAATAGGTGTAAACCTTTTGAATCTACTCTTGATTAATGGTCTCTTCAAACCAGAGAAAGGTGCGGTTCCGTGCGATGCGATGCATGATACGGGGAATGTGATAATGTATTTGTACTTTTACAAATTGATAGAAAATGATGATGCATTCTTTGAATCGCTATAATTGATGATAGTGAGATAGAATTTGTGGGAGACTAATGTCACTAATCCCAAACACCCACAAGTCCAAGAATCTTTGAATAGGTATAGGAAGATTATTTTCCTCAATTGTCTAATTTAATATGGTTAATCAATTAGATTCTACTATGTCGACGAGCACTTGTTAAGGAAAATTAGGGGCATTTTCCATTTCTCTCTGGGAGAATGTCACAATTGAATACTGGAATGGCATGGTATCATAGGTCACTATAATGGTCCTAATTGAGAATCATTTGTATAAAGCAAACTTTATGAAATTATTCTTCCCTTTTCGTCTTAGAATCTCTTTTATAAGTCTGCAAAGAATTTCCAATGCAAAATTCATTTTTTCTAATATTATTTCGTATTTCTGTTCTTATTTATTTTCTCAAAATATGGCATAGAATTAATTTCCAAAAAGAAAAAAAAAAATTGATGATAAAGCGTGGATAAAAAAAATAATTTAATATATAAATTAAATTGTGTAGTATGCGTTCCTCTATCGACGCATGTTTGATTGGGAAAAAAATTGAATAAAACTTGGATCATATTAGAAAAAAATTGCGTTCAAATTTTTTTATTTATTATATTAAAATAATTTTATACAATACTGCATACTTAGAAAGTACTTCAAAAATTTAAGCACGAAAGAAATTGAGTAATAGGGTGGCGTTGGGCATCATATTCTTGACAATCATGATGGCATATACCTTGAATATTTGGTAAAAATCTGATAGTCCCCAATTTTCTAAGGGGTTTGGTCCTTTCTAACTTGTGCCAGTCTACAAGTGGTTACCATTCCCTTTTTATCCGATCGATCAAACTTTTCCCCGATCATAGAATATTCTATCATCTCATCATGACAACATATTTATATATTAATATTATTGTTTTTCTAATAAATGAATAAAACACAATTAACCAATTTATGTTTAATTGAACATATCACGTAATGATAAATTGGTACGGTAACACTACTGATGTTATATAACATTATTCTTATAATTAAACGACATCATATTCTACTTTAAACATATTATAGTTCAACTTTTCTTGAATAAAAAAAACTTTAGATGAGTCTGATTACCTGTTTGAATTTTTTATTCGCTCTAATACTATATAGAGTCTTGAATTTCAATTTAGAAGGCCGTCCATTTTAAGAGGAGAAGTTCAAATCATCGTATATTTTTATTTTCATACAATGTGAAATTTTATGATTAAAATCAACTTTGACAAGTATGACTGAATTTTTTTTTTTTTAAAGAAAAATAAAAATACAAACTCTCAAATTTCATGTAATAACATTATAATTAAATAAGATGAAAGCAGAGTAGTGCTATATGTTTGGTATTATATTTTCACCTAGCAAAGAAAAGAAGAAGAGGGGAATCAACCAATCGTACCATGAAGAGTCGAAGACCTTCGATCTTAAGTTATTCCACGAAGAAAATAATAAAAATGAGAATAAAGTTATCTTACTTTTTTCCTTCAAGAAGAATGATTGAAAAAAGTTGAACTTTATGAATCCAATCGTAGTATCAAATTTTGGCTTTTCATATATATATATGTGTGTGTGTGTGTGTGTGTGTGTGTGTGTTTATTTGTTAACGCAGTGTAACTATTTTTGTCTGTAATATATATCATAGCCCCTGTTTGGTACATATTAAAATTTTCATTCTCATTTTTCTACTCATTTTCAACAAAACATTTTTCAATAAAATAATATTTTCCATCACATCAATAACTTTTTCTTCCTTTTTAATTACAAATTCTCCATCAATCTACTATTACAAAATACATTCTTTCAAAATAATATGGATGAAACACACCCTATATCTTTATTGTACATTACGAAATTCCAATAGTTTAATTAAAAAGCTCATTCTTTTAAGAATTCAATTACTACTAATTATCGTAAATTTTACGGTGGGAACCGATTATTTTCCTCTTTATCTCTCATCAAAGCATTATGGATTTAGTGCATGTGATTCTTGAATTACTCAACCACCGCACCCCGGTGATTTTGGGCGGTGGCTCCCCGAAACGGATGGAAAACTGGGCCCACCAACCACACCGACCACGGGGAAGTTCCATACTTCTCCCATAAGAAAGGAATTAGGTGATAGGTGGAGGGTACCAAAATTGACACGTGACAGAGTTGGTAAAAATTAAGGTAGTCAAAATTTGGGAGCTGAAAACTCACACGTTGTACTAACTATTTACAACTGCTAGAAACGACCGTTGACGGTTGGCCACACTCCAATCAGCAGCTTCCACAAATCTAACATTGAACTTGGAATTAGTCCAAAAATGTTCATGAAGTAGGATAAGAGCCTAGAATCACGCTCAATTTATATCAAATATTTATAAAATTATTTTAGCTGAAGTTGACCAACATTATAATATTTTGTCATCGCTAGTATTTCGTATTTTAAAATAAGTTTTCAACAATGACTAGTATAGATAAATATTTGCGTTTGAATTTCACCGAGTCACAAATTTTACTATCTCTTTATGAAAGATTTAGTTGTCAAATATTTGGTAAAAATTAAAATCCTATTTGATTTAACTATTTTCAATCACCGATGAAACAAAATCCATTAAAAATATGATTTTTTTTTTTTCGCAAATGGCGCTAAATTTATTTTACATTTTGTAGGATCTTTTTCAAAAGAATAAAATAAAAATGAACTGAAAGTCAAATAGTTAGAATAGAAGAGCGAGTTAGGAATAGGATATAGATAGAAGTTGTTTTCACTCGTAAGCGAAAGATATTACAAAGATTTTATGTACTAGATTAATTTAAGATTTCTTTAGTCTTTCTCTACGAATTGGTGGTAAGAGTTTGGACATGGTCGGTCGATGAATTGGGGTACGTGGAAGAATGCTTGTAAGATCACACGCAAATAGGATCGCAACCAATTGGGTCATTGGTCATGTGGACACGCTTTTTGATGGGTTGAATTGAGGTACCAATTCCATATATAGATGTGAAGATGACGACTATGCTTTATTATGACTAATTGGGTTGTCCACCAAGACCATTGGCCTCCCGTATCTTGAAAAGTATATCTTTTTATAATAAAAATGTTAGGTACTCATATAATTTCTCTACCTTAAAAATAATGGTGTAACCCTCCTATTTAAAATTTTAGAGAGTTCGTCGGCAATCGACATTAATTTCACATCACATCTTGCATCTAATATCAAGCCAATGTATGTGTGCAAACATATGGCCGTTAGTAATAACAATCTCTATCATGAGAAATAGTGTATGTCATGAGAATGTAAATATCTTACTTAAGCGATTTCATCGTTGTCTTCCAAAAAAGAGAGACATAATGTCGACTTTGAGTACTTAGCTGATGTTTCTCCTCTTTTTGTACAATTTTTCCTTAGGAGACCAGTTTGTCCACAATCGTAACATATTTTTTTCCTTTTCATGAAATTATTTTTCTTTCAATTCTCAGCAACAAACAATGAATATACTAATGAAATACTATTTTCATCCGATCTTCTTTCTTCATAAATCGAGTTACTTTCCTTAATTCGATATATATATATATATATATATTTATTTATTTTTTTTTTAATTTTTTTTTTAATTTTATTTTGATCTTCTTCTTCTTCT